ATGTTGGTGAGGCAACTGTTAAAGTACTGTGTACAGTTTTGGTCGCCCTGCTATGGGAAGTATATTGTTAAATTGGAGAGGGTTCAGAAAAGATGTGGCCAGGATGTTACCAGGACTGGAGGGTTTGAGTTATAAGGAAAGGCTCGATAGGCTGAGACTTTTTTTTAACTGGAGCATAGGAAGTTGAGGGGTGACCTTATGGAGGTTTATAAAATCATGAAGGACATAGATAAGGTGAAAAGCAAAGGTTGTTTCCCTAGGGTGGAGTAGTTTAAGCTGAGAGGGGAAAGATGTAAAAGGAACCTGGGAGCAACTTTTTCTCACACAGGGTAGTTCATACATGGAATGAACTGCTGGAGGAAGTGGTCAATGCAGGTATAGTTACAACATTTAAAAGATATTTGGACAGGTACATGAATAGGAAACGTTAAGAGTGAAGTGGATCAAGTGCAGGTAAATGAGACTAATTTTGTTTCAGAACTTGGTCAGAATGGACGAGTTGGACTGAAGGGTCTGTTTTGTGCTTTCTGACTTTAACTCTATGAGCAGCAATATATTTCGATGTCAGGATGGTGAGTGGCTTGGAGGGGAACTTATAGGTGAACTTGCAGATGGTGGTGTTCCCAAGTATCTGTTCCCCTTTTCCTTCCAGATGGAAGCAGTTGTGGGTTTGGAAAATTCTGTGTAAGGATCTGATAAGTGATACCCTATAAAGCACATACTTCCACAGACTGGAACAAATCCAGAAAAGAACAACTGAAAATTACACATTTTTGAATTTGAAAACTTGCCTAAGGCTGGAACACCGAATGAAACAATTGTTGACTGCTTTAACTGAAGTGAAGTTGCATTAGCTGGCCCGGAAAATTATGATCCACAACAAGCAACTAACGAAAGCAGTTTCCTGAAGTTCCATGGTGAATAGAGATTATTGAATAGGTTAGCATATTGTGGAATCTATAATTATCAGATGCAGGTATTTTCAGCTCACTAAGATTTAGCAAATAAACTTGCTGGTTTGCACACTGTGACATTTAATTTGCATAAAATCATAGGAAATTGTGAAACTGAGACTGCTTCTTGTCTGGGGAAAGTTAACCTTGCATGACAGTGTAGTTTTTTGTCTCTATAGTGATGCAGTACATTTAGGCTCATGTTCCATTTTATTTAAGTTGTTCAGTCCACTGCAGTCATCACTGGGGTGACTGTCTATTTAAAAACAAAATACAGATTGTGGAAATTTGAAACAAGTACAGAATTCTGGAGAAACTCAACAAGTCTGGCAGCATTTGTAGAGAAAGAAAAGTACTTGATGTTTTGAGTCCAGTATGACTCTTGAGAACATTGTGGCTATCTTGTTTATTTGACAATGGATAGCTTTCAGAAGGGTAATGATGAACATGTACAATACACTTGAGACCTCACATTATTGGAAAGATGTGAATGCATTTGAGTGAGTGCAGAAGCAATTTAAAGAATGGTTCTAGGAATGAGAAACATCCAACGTTGGGGCTGTTCTCCTTGGAGAGATGAAGGCTGAGAAGATACTTGATCAAGGGTTTCATATCGTGAACATGTTGGAGAGAGTACATCGTGTAAAGCTGCTCCTTGTAAAAGTAAAAAGAATGAGGGAATAGAATTAAAACGATGTGCAAATGAAGCAAGGGTGGTTGTGGAAAAACTTTTTCATACAGCGGATAGTTAGGGTATGGAATGCACTGTCTGGAAATGTAGTGGAGGAAAGTTCATTTGAGGCGTTCAAGAGGGCAGTGATGATTATTTGGGTAAAAATGCTGTGCAGGTATGTGGGGAAAAGCTAGTAGGTAATAGAGCCAGTGTAGACAAAATGGATGCAATGGCCTCCTTCTGCCCCTTAATGGTTTCACGCACTTGCCAAGTTGGTTTCAAGTTTTAGAGATAACGAGGTGTAGAGCTGGATGAACACAGCAGACCAAGCAGCATCAGAGGAGCAGGAAGGCTGACATTTCGGGCCTAGATCCTTCATCAGAAATGCTCCTGCTCCTCTGATGCTGCTTGGCCTGCTGTGTTCATCCAGCTCTACACCTTGTTATCTCAGATTCTCCAGCATCTGCAGTTCCTACTCTCTCTCGTTTCAAGTTTTAACTGACAGTGCTAACAAAGCCCTGCAAGGAACTTTGTCCTGGCTCAATTTAGGTGAAACTGATTGGATTGCCGGACTATATCCTATGACGGATAAGAGTTAATCATGTTGCTATGGATCTGGAATCTCGGGTCAAGTAAGAAAGGCAGATTTCTGGAAAGGTTCCATCAAGCTGGAAGGCTGCAATTATAACTCCTACGTTCAAGAATGGAGGGAGGCCTGTTGTTGGTTATGGGAAAGGTGTTAGGATAGATCATTAAAGAAGTTGTAGTTAAGAAAGCACCAGTAATCTGGAAGAATCAGCATGAACTTTTGGAAAAGAAATTTGTTTAATCAATTTATTGGAGTTATTTGAAGAGACAGCATTCACAGTGGATAAAGGAGAACCTATAGACATATTGTACTTGGTCAAATGTCTTCTGGAAATCTGTGCCCCAAAAGGTTATTGTGCAAAGTAGGAAGTCGTGTTTTTGGGGTTAACATATTAACGTGGGGCGAAGATTAGCTGGCGGAAAACAATATGCAAAATTTTTTTCCTAGTCAACGAGATTGTCTTGTAGGCTTGTGTTGAAGCCTCAGCCTTTTATAATTTATATCAATGACTTATGAGGGGAGCAAAAGCATGATAACTAGAATTTGTGGATATTTAACATGTAGGAAAGTAGATTTTTGATGATGCAAGGAGGTTGCAGGTGGATGGAGATTGGGTTAGCAGGCAAATATCTGGTGGGTGGAGAATAATGCAAGAAAATGTTTAATTTTGCAGAAAGAATAAAGGAGCAGAGAATGATTTTAAATTGAGAATTACTGCAAATATCTGAGGCATGGAGGATTTCATGCATAGACTGCATCTTTTGCATGAATTACTGTACTAAATAGGCCCTACGGCCTTTTGAGTCTGTATCCCCAAAAATACACTACTAGTTAAACTAGTCCCACTTTTATCTATAACTTTGAATATTGTGACACTTCGAGTGCTCATCCAAGTACTTTTTAAAAAGTTGAGGTTTCCTGCCTCAACTTTAGTTGGGCCACACTTGAGACTATTGCATTCAGTTCTGCTTGCCACATTACGGGAAGGATGTGGAGCCTTTGGAAAGGGTGCAGAAGAGTTTTACCAGGATATGCTGCCTGGATTAGAGGGTATGAGCTATAAGAGGCTGGAAAAACTTGATGTTTTCTCTTGAGCGGTGGAGTCTGAGGGGAGACTTGATAGAAGTCTATAAAATTGAAATACATAGGTAAGGTTGATTATCAGAATCTTTTTTCCCCAAGATTGAAATGTCTAATATTAGGGGGTGTACATTTAAGGTGGGGGCGGTGGAAGTTCAAAGGAGACATGAGGAGCAAGTTTTTTACGTAGTGGTAAGAATCTGGAACGCACTGCCGGGGTGGTGGTGGAGGCAGATACGATAAGGCCATTTAAGGAACTTTTAGATAAGCACATGATTATGGAGGGATATGGACCAAGGGCAGACAGAAGGCATTAGTTTCATTTGTCATCATGTATAGTGCAACGTGACCTGTTCCTGAGCTGTACTGTCTTATGTTCTAACTACCCTTCTAGGCAGTACGTTCTACAGCCCCACCACCCTCTTGGTGAAAACTGTTTTGCTCGAATCCCCTTTTAGCCTCCTTCCTTTCACTTTAAAAGTTTGTCCCCTTGTTATTTAACCCTTTGACTAAGAACAGCTGCTTTCTGTTTAACTCTGCCCATGCCCTGGTAATCCTATAGATCTCTAGGTTCCCCCTAACTTTCTCTGATCCAAAGAAAATAACTCAAGCTTATCCAACCTCTATCGCAGGCAACATCCTGGTGAATCTCCTTTGCAACCCCTCCAGGACAATGGCATCCTTTCTAAGTGCAGTGACCAGATCTGCGCAAGTGTCATATTTGCCCCAACTACTCTATTGAGCTGAGTTAACGTTTCAGGTCCGATGACCCTTCCTCAGGGTCACCGGACCCGAAATGTTAACTCTATTTTCTTCTCCACAGATGCTGCCAGACCTGCTGAGCTTTTCCAGCAACTTTGTTTTTGTTTCTGATTTACAGCATCTGCAGTTCTTTTGGTTTTTACTCTACTGAGCTGCCCTGCTACTTTCAGGGATTTGTGGACAGGCACCCAAGATGTCTCTGTTCCTCTGAGCTTCCTAGAGTCCTGCCATTCATCGAGTACTTCCTTGTCTTGTTCCTTCTTCCAAAGTGCATAGCTGACATGTATCAGGATTAAATTCCATCATGGAGGATGGAAAGGTTGTGGAGACTGCTAACCTCTGCTGTGTCCCCATGGGAGCATCCTAGCCAATAAGTCTACCTGCTGAATGTGACAACTAGGACTGACAATCAACTATTCTTGCTGCATCTTCTCCTGAAAATGATGGCCCATTCAATCAATTCCTTTTTTTTTCCTCAAGCTGCGTATAAATCATTGTCCCTTTTTTCAAGTCTGTTTCTTGCATCCTAGTCCTGCTGAAATTGTTTATTTTTGTGATTACCTATCTGTCACATTTCCAAGTTTTTAACTTTCTTGTAAAATCTGTTAAAAATATTTTAGTTCGTACTGTAAATGTTTCTTAAAATAATCTGTCATTAACATTATAGATCCCAGTCTATGTATGTAACTTGTCATGTAAATTTGTTACTGCGTCATTTGGTTGAGGGAGTTTGGTTTAGAAGGATGTTTTAGAAATGGGATGTGTGAGAAATGTGGAAGGATACAAGTTATAAATTAGTTGATCCGTGTTGACCTGATAAATGATCCAGCATTTATTTCTTTGTAAGCTGTATTGTGCTTTTTGAGACTTTAAATATGTTTTGATAGCATCATGTATCGCTTGCAGTTAGATTGCTGAATGGATTTTTTTTTCTCCTGAACAGTATTGAATCAGCTTCCACTTCCCTCCCCGCTGCCTGCTACCACAACGAAAAGCTTGCTGTTTGGAGGGAGAATTGCTGAAGATGTAAATTGCCTCATGGGTTGTAGGGATGAGAGTCTTGTCTCACAGCTAGTACACAGCCTCAGCCAAGTCTCCACCGATCATATGTAAGTATAGTCTTATTCTCTGGACAGCAAAGGTTGTCACTTTGTAATGTTTCATTTTCCGCAAGGTCATGTTTATTGTAGCACAGAGCTTACAATGATGAACAAGTGATTTACCTCCTGAAGCTTATCCATCCAATATCCTAACTATCTTGGTTCAACTTTGATTATGTTTTGAATGCCATGTACATGTGCCAACCTATCATCCTACTAAGATCAATCTATCCTGCATATCCTACATTTTACTGTCCTCCAGGTGCCTATCCAAGAGTCGCTTAAAAGTCTCAAGTCTCCACTACCACTGCTGGCAGCATATTCCACACGCCCACCACTCTCTGTGTGAAGAACCTACCTCTGACATCTCTCTCATACCTTCCTCCAATCACCTTAAAATTATGCCCCCTCGTAATAGTCATTTCCATCCTGGGAGAAAGTCTCTGACTATCCACTCTATCTATGCCTCTCATCATCTTGTACACTTCTATCAAGTCACCTCTCATTCTTCTTTGCTCCAATGAAAAATGCCCTAGCTCCCTCATAAGACCTGCCCTCCAGCCCAGGCAGCATCTTGGTAAATCTCCTCTGCACCCTCTCTGAAGCTTCCACATGTTTCCTATAATGAGGTGACCAGAACTGATCGCAATATTCCAAGTGTAGTCTAACCAGAGTTTTATAGAGCTGCAGCGTAACCTCACGGCTCTTAAACTCAATTCCCCTGCCACTGAAAGCCAATATGCTATACGCCTTCTTTACAACCCTATCAACTTGGGTAGCAACTTTGAGGGATCCTATGGACGTGGACCCCAAGATCCCTCTGTTCCTCCACACTACCAAGAATCCTGCCATTATCCCTGTATTCTGCATTCAAATTCGACCTTCCAAAATGAATCACTTCAGACTTTTCTGGGTTGAATTCCATCTGCCACTTCTTTGCCTAGCTCTGCATCCTGTCAATGCCCTGTTGCAACCTATAACAGCCCTCCATGCTGTCCACAGCTTCACCAACCTTCGTGTCATTGGCAAACTTACTAACCCACCCTTCCACTTCCTCGTTTAAGTCATTTATAAAGATCACAAAGAGCAGAGGTCCCAAAACAGATCCCTGCAGAACACCACTGGTCACCGAGCTCCAGGCTGAATACTTTCCATCTACTACCACCCTCTTCTATTGGACAGGTAGTTTTGTATCCAGACAGCCAAATTTCCCTGAATCCCATGCCTCCTTACTTTCTGAATGTTTTAAGAATTTTGTAATTTTCAAGGAAACCACTGATCACATTTCTACTAACTATAGAGAAATACAGAATTGTTACGGTTCAAAGGCCTTTCGGCACACTGTCTGCTTTTCAAATGAGCATAGAACACAAGGATTATAGAATCCCTGCAGTGTGGAAGCAAGCCATTTGGCCCATTGAGTTCTCACCAACCCTCTGAAGAGCATCCTACCAAGACTTGCCCCCCTACCCCCTCCATGTAATCCTGCATTTCCTATGGCCAAAGCACCTAGCCTGCACATTCCTGGACAGAATAGACAATTCAGCATGGCCAATCCACCTGATCTGCATATCTTTGGACTGTGGGAGGAAACCACCGCAGACATGGGGAGAATATACAAACTGTACACACAGTTGCCCGAAAGTGGAATTGAACTCGGGTTCTTGGCACTGTAGTGCAACAGTGTTAATCACTGAGCTACCATGCTGCCTAGGAACAACCCCTTTTGAGCTTGTGCTGACTGTAATTATGGCTGACTTCACCTTGGCCTGCATGGAGTCTGAAGAGATAGGAGAGGTGCTAAATGAATATTTTTCGTCAGTATTCACACAGGAAAAAGACAATGTAGTCGAGGAGAATACTGAGATACAGTCTATTAGACTAGACGGGATTGAGGTTCATAAGGAGGAGGTGTTAGCAATTCTGGAAGGTGTGAAAATAGATAAGTCCCCTGGGCCGGATGGGATTTATCCTAGGATTCTCTGGGAAGCTAGGGAGGAGATTGCAGAGCCTTTGGCTATGATCTTTATGTCGTCATTGTCTTCAGGAATAGTGCCAGAAGACTGGAGACTAGCAAATGTTGTCCCCTTGTTCAAGAAGGGGAGTAGAGACAACCCTGGTAATTATAGACCAGTGAGCCTTACTTCGGTTGTGGGTAAAGTGTTGGAAAGGATTATAAGAGATAGGATTTATAATCATCTAGAAAGGAATAATTTGATTAGGGATAGTCAACACGGTTTTGTGAAGGGTAGGTCGTGCCTCACAAACCTTATTGAGTTCTTCGAGAAGGTGACCAAACAGGTGGATGAGGGTAAAGCGGTTGATGTGGTGTAAATGGATTTCAGTAAAGCGTTTGATAAGGTTCCCCATGGTAGGCTATTGCAGAAAGTATGGAGGCATGGGATTGAGGGTGATTTAGTGGTTTGGATCAGAAATTGGCTAGCTGTAAGAAGGCACAGGGTAGTGGTTGATGGGAAAAGTTCATCCTGGAGTTCAGTTACTAGTGGTGTACCTCAAGGATCTGTTTTGGGGCCACTGCTGTTTGTCATTTTTATAAATGACCTGGATGAGGGCATAGAAGGATGGGTTAGTAAATTTGCGGATGACACTAAAGTCGGTGGAGTTGTGGATAGTGCGGAAGGATGTTGCAGGTTACAGAGGGATATAGATAGGCTGCAGAGCTGGGCTGAGAGGTGGTAAATGGAGTTTAATGCTGAAAAGTGTGAGGTGATTCACTTTGAAGGAGTAACAGGAATACAGAGTACTGGGCTAATGGTAAGATTCTTGGTAGTGTGGATCAGTAGAAAGATCTCTGTGTCCATGTGCATAGATCACTGAAAGTTGCCACCCAGGTTGATAGCGTTAAGAAGGCGTACGGTATGTTAGGTTTTATTGGTAGAGGGATTGAGTTTCGGAGCCATGAGGTCATGTTGCAGCTGTACAAAACTCTGGTGCGGCCGCACTTGGAGTATTGCGTACAGTTCTGGTCACCGCATTATAGGAAGGATGTGGAAGCATTGGAAAGGGTGCAGAGGAGATTTACCAGGATGTTGCCTGGTATGGAGGGAAGGTCTTATGAGGAAAGGCTGAGGGTCTTGAGGCTGTTTTCGTTAGAGAGAAGAAGGTTAAGAGGTGACTTGATAGAGACATACAAGATGATCAGAGGATTAGATAGGATGGACAGTGGGAACCTTTTTCCTCGGATGGTGATGGCTAGCACGAGGGGACATAGCTTTAAACTGAGGGGTGATCGATATAGGACAGTTGTCAGAGGTAGGTTCTTTACTCCGACAGTAGTAAGGGCGTGGCATGCCCTGCCTGCAAAAATAGTAGACTCGCCCACTTTAAGGGCATTTAAATGGTCATTGGATAAACATATGGATGATAATGGAATAGTTTAGGTTAGATGGGCTTCAGATTGGTTTCACAGGTCGGCGCAACATCGAGGGCCGAAGGGCCTGTACTGCGCTGTAATGTTCTATGTTCTATGTTGGCCTCAGCTCCACTTCCTGCTTGCTTTCCATAACACTTCAGTTCAGTACTAATTAAAAATCTGGGAAAACACAGCAGGTCTGGTAGCATTTTTGGAAAGAAAGCAGAGTTAACATTTCTGGTCCAGTAACCCTTCAGAAATCTCTGAAGTGTAATTACCTTTGTTTAACTCCAGAATGCTAGTGTGAGACTGCAGCTTCTCGTCTTCCAACTGAATTTGAAATTCCAGTATGTGTGATCACTCTTTCCTAAAGGTTCTTTTTTTAATAAGATAATTAATTAATCCCACCTCATTTATGTGATATCGAATCCAGAATAGTCTGCTCCCCAGTTGATTCCACAACCTATTACTCTAATAAGCAATCTACAACACATTCAATGAATTCTCCCTCCAGGCTACCATTGCCAACTGGATTAATCCAGTCTATATGCATTGTAAAATTACCCAGGATTGTTGCTGTACCTTCATAGAAGCCCCCTGTATTCCCTGGTTTGTGTTGTGCCCCACTTTGGTACTACAGTTTGAGGACCTGTATATTACTTCCAACAGGGACGACTTTTCCTCGCTCTGTTTTTATTTCTACCCAGACTAATCCTATACCTTGATCTCCAGTGCATTTCTCACTACAGCACTGATCTCTGTCTTTACTAACAAGTTACTCTTCTCCTTTTCTTTCTGCCTGTCCTTTCAACAGTACCCTTGGATATTTGATTCCCAAACCTAGTATCCCTGCAATCATGTCTCAATAATCAGCACCAAATCATAGCCATTTAACTTGATTTGTGCTGTTAACTCAAATGCAGTATAATGTGAATAAATGTGAGGTTATCCACTTTGGCAAAAATAGGAAGGCTGATTATTGACTGGTGGCAGTTTAGGAAAAGGTGAGGTGCAATGAACCCTGGGTGTCATGGTGAAACAGTCGCTGAAGGTTGGCATGCAACTGCAGCAGACAGTGAGGGAAGCTAATAGCATGCTCTCCTTCATACAGAGAGGATTTGAATATCGGAGTAAAGTTTTCATCCTGCAGTTATGCAGGGCTTTGGTGAGACCACACCTTGAGTATTGTGCGCAGTATTGGATCTCCTTGTCCGAAGGAAGGATATTCTTGGTGTTGAGGGAGTCCAATGAAAGTTCACCAGACTGATTCCCAGGAAGGCAGGACTGACACAAGAAGAAAGACTGGATCGACTGGGCTTGTATTTGGTGGAACTTAGAAGAATGAGGGGGATCTCATAGGAACATTTAAAATCGTGATGGGACTGGAGTGGCTAGATGCGGGAAGAAAGTTCCCAATGTTGGGCAAGTCCAATACAAAGGTGTCACAGTCTAAGAATAAGTGGTTAAAAAGTAAACCATTCAGGACTGAGATGAGGAATATTTTCTTCGCGTTCGAGTTATGAACCTGTGGAATTCTTTCCCACAGAAAGCTGTTTGGGCCAGTTCATTATATATATTGAAGAGGGAGCTGGGCATGCCCTTGCAGCTAAAGCGATCAAGGGGCATGGAGAGAGAAAGGGAATGGGATACAGAGATTGCATGATCAGCCATGATCGTATTGAATGGTGGTAAAAGCTTGAAGGACTGAATGGCCTTCTGCACCGATTTTCTATGTTTCTATATTCTTTTCTTCTGAGTTTCTCCAATTTCTGTTTTTGTTGTTTATAATTTTCCCCTTCATGAAGCCATTCACAATGCTTTATTTTGATTGTAAATGCTTGGGTTTCCAATGGCAGTATGTTAGCATGGATAAAGGATAAGCTAACTAATAGTGTTGGGATAAGGGGCAAAAGCAGAAGTTGCTGGAAACGCTCAGCAGGTCTGGCAGCAGCTGTGAAGAAAAAAATCCGAGTTAACGTTCCTGGTCCGGTGACTCTTCCTCAAAACTGAAGGTCACCAGAAAGGCCCGAAACGTCAGCCTCTCTGCTCCTATGATGCTGCTTGGCCTGCTGTGTTCATCCAGCCCTGCACCTTGTTGTCCCAAAACATTAAGTGTTTTTTTTAAATTTTTTTTCTCCTCTTTATCGTCACAAATGCTGCTAGACCTGCTGAGCTTTTCCAGCAACTCCTGTTTTTGTTCCTGATTTACAGCATCCACAGTTCTTTTGGTTTTTATTGGGATAAGGGGGCCATTTTCAGAATGACAACCTGTAACTAGCGTACCTCATGGATCAGTGCTGAGGCTGCATTTATTTACAATATAGATAAATGACTTGGATGAGAAAAGTAAATATAATAGAATTTTTCAATGACATAGAGATGGGAGGACAAGTGGTAAGGATGACACAAGGAGTCAAATATAATAATATCCTTAATTGTCATGTCCTCAAGTACAGGCATACAGGAGTACAGTGAAAAGTTTTATAATGTCACCTCTTATGGCACCATCTTAGGTACAAGTACCTAGGTACAAATCCTAGATACAAAAAGAGGAATTAAAAAAAGTAGTTGCATTACTTTACAGAAATAAGACATAGTTAAATGGATGGCCATTACAGTCATATAAACAGATTACACCCAAACATTGCAATGCAGTAACTGAGCACAGGGGCTTCCACACATGGTCTGACCATCTGCACAGACCCTAGTGCAACAACTGTCCCTGCTCATCTCCAAGCCTCCAATCCACTCTGCACCAGCTCTCAGCTCTTCCAAGGTAAGTTTTTCCCTCCAAGGTTTCTGCTTGGCAATCCAGTTCCCCGCGCCAGCCTCTGCTCTGGAACTCGATTCCCCGCAGATATAGGTAGGTTGAGTAGGCAAAACTTGAAGATGAAATACAGGGGATTCCCTTTTGAATACTCGCGCTTACGAATGTGATCCCATACAGGGGTATAATTCTAAAGATCTGATATACAAACATTTCTTGTAGTTACGAATCGCTATTTTATATTAGCCCGCATTGTGTTCTGACTTGCAAATCAAGAATGAAATCTCGCAAGCTGGGGACATCCTGTATATTGTTGGAAAATAACGTTATGTACTTAGGCAGGAAGAATAGAGAAACTGAATATTATTTAAAAAGAAAAAGAACGCAGAAAGCTAAAACAGAACGATTTGGGATCCTCAATTCCCAAATAGCAAAAAAGCTACCATCCAGGTTCATTATCCAACCAAGGCAAATGGGCTATTGGACTTTATTTCAAAGAAAATGGAGCATAAAATAGGGAGCCTTGTCAAAATAAGGCACAAGTCAGATCTCAGCTGGAATACCACGAACAGTTCCGGTCCCCTCACCTGGAATACTGACACTGGTGGCAGTCCAGAAAATGTTCCCTAGGCTGATTCTTAAGGATTTCCTTATGAGGAGGGCTCAAATGTTGGGTTTGTGTTCGTTAGAGTTTAGAAGAGGAGATCTAATTGAAACATAGAAGATTCTTAGTGGGCTTGACAGGGTAGATGTGGTGAGGTTGCCTCCTCTTGAGGGAAAGCCTAGGACTAGGGGCATAATGTGCGTAAGGAGTCTCCCGTTTATTCTGAGATGTGGATTTTTTTCTGAGACTGGTGATTCTGTGGAAGTCTTTACTCTAGTGGGCTGTCAGGGCTGTGTCATTAAGTATATTCAGGGCTGAGATAGATTTCTAATTGGACTCCATTTACACGGTTCGCTGCAGCTTGCTGCCATGGAAAGGCTGCCAACATAATCAAAGACCCATCGCACATTGTCAATGATCTCCTACAACCTCTTCAGTCAGGCGGAAGATACAGAAGCCTGAACACACGCACGAGCAGGTTCAGGAACAGCTTCTTCCCGCCTGTTATCAGACTGATAAATGGACTGTCTAGCCTCAAATAATACTGATCTTGCTAACGTTGATCTCACCTAGCGCACACCCTATGCAATATAACCTGTATGCCTCTGTCTTTTTGATCTGTATGTCCTTTGCTTACTATGATCTGCCTGTACCGTTCGTAAACAAAGCTTTTCACTGTATTTTGGTACACGAGACAACAAATAAATAAAATCAATCAATCAGTAAATCAATTTCAGGAGCTATGGGTTATGGGGAAAAGGCAGGAAAGCAGGATAAAGAATTATCGGGTCAGCTGTGTTCTCATTGAATGACATTCGATAGTATAGCCTACTTCTGTCCTACGTCTTACAGTCTGTTGGGAGACAGCTCATTCTAACCTTTACATGTTTGTATCCAGCCTGAATTTTCAAATATTCTTTACTTTTTCCCATTTATATGTGATTTGTTTTAACCCATCTTAATGTTGGGAATTGCACATTTTAGTTTCATAGTTTGCATTAACCATTAAAACAACATGAAATATCTTGAATGATTTGCTGCATTTGAGGGTAATTAGGATGGCATAAATTCTGGCTTTGCCAGCAGTGCGTGCATGTAATGAATGGAAGAGGAGCTACTGAATATGGTTAGTAACAGTTTAAGCCCACATATCCTACAAATGAATAAAAAAGATATGAGTTGCTGGCTGGACAGCAATTTTTGCCCATCCCTAGCAGCCCATGAAAAGGTGGTGATGAGCTGACTTCTTGAACCGCTGCAGTTCACCTTAATTTACCTTGGTGTCCTTGTAGTAAATTCAAGTTATATAACCATGATGCCGCCACCACCACCTCTAAAGCTGTAGATAATGAGGTGTGAAGCTTGTTAAAAATTTCTTTTGATGGTCCCTGTAAAGAATGAAAGCACCTTATTTGGATTGGGTAATGATTGTAGGCAATATGAGTTCTTTTGGAAAGTTATTTTAATCTCCGTAACACTAGCATTGAAGTAAAATTGAAAATAATTGTTCCTTTTCTAGAGAACTGAAGGATAATCTTGGTAGCGATGACCCAGAGGGTGATATTCCAGTCCTCCTGCAAGCTGTTTTGGCTAGAAACCCCAATGTCTTCAGGGAGAAAAGCATGCAGAATCGATATGGGGTTCAGAGTGGTGAGTAATACACATACAGTAAACTGGATCAACTATTTATTCACAAAAACTGGCAGATCGTTTTTGGGGTTTTTAGTATGGATTTAGGATTTTCATTTAGAATTAAGATAGTAGTTTATACTGTCTGAATAATCTTGATGTAACATTCTGGGGTCCCTGCTTATGCTTTAGAAATCAAATCACAACTGTTGTTTACTTTGAAATTGTGAATCTGGCTCTTCTAATCAAAAGCCTTGAAATTATTAACTTCATCACAGAAACTGGGGTAGAATAAGTCTGAATTTCTCTTTCGCCTATACTGACTGACATTCACAGCGGTTTTCTAACTGTGAAGGGTTTATTGATCCTCCTGCAGTTTATTGCTATTCCTTGAAATCTGTGAATAAAAATAGATGACTGGGCTGACACTTTTCCAACCCTGTGTGAGGAAGTGCCCATTTTTGATGGACTGTGCTTTCTGGATTTGGGAAATCACTTGGAATATAAGACCATATCTTGAAACTGCGTAACATGTTAGATAAACAGTGCAACACACAGTTTGCTAAGTAATACTAAATGTAATAAAATTATAGTGCATCACTGATCAGGTCAACTCTTTCCTTTCAGGAAAAGAATGGTTTACTAAGGGATTAGACTGTATGCAAGAACTGTCAGGTTCATGACTTGATACACATCACAACAATTTAATTTAAAATTTTAAATCATTAGCTAAGTCTTTCTCTGCTCCCTCTGGTTGCCATAACAGATTTAATAGAAAAAGGAAGTCTTTGCTGTGGTTGCTAATGTGCTGTAACCTCTCCAGTACAGAGTGCTTGATACAGAAACACTTCTGGATTTTCAAAAAAAATATTGTTGAGCCACGTTGTTTGAACTGGATGTAAATATGTAAATAGAGACAAGTTGAATATTATTTGTGCAGAAAAGAGTTGGAGCCAAATCGAGCCGAAAGGATAAAAAATGAGCAAGAAGCTGATGGTGAAGGAAATAGTTAGATGATGTTAAAGATTGGCTTAACTAGAATTGCAACAAGCTCATCCACTATTGCTGTGATTGGAAAGTTTGGAAGACAGTATTCGCCTATGTCACCTGGCTTGGCACTTGCACAATAACAATGGGACATAAAGCAAACCAAACTAGTGTTGACATGAGCGTGTGTACTTTCAAATCTGTTCATTTAAAATATGGGCTGTTGCACCTAATGCACAGGGGTCTGCATTTAAATTGAACAATGTCAGCCATTGACCAATACAGTCCTTTAAAACTTTTAAGGTTTGTAAATGCCAGTGCGCACACTGTATTTGACCTGTTGCCACCTACAAATGCACAGGTAGACTGTAATCACTTCCCCACCCACACTCTTGATCTAAGTGGTCAGTTCTTGCGATCAGGAGCAGAAACACAACCAAATTTAATGCTTCCATTCATCTTCCCAGCTCAATCACACAAGCAGTTTTTAACCCTCACTCAAGACACCTCATTCAGTGATTAAGTTACTTGCTGGTAATTTATGGAGTACATGAGCCTGAGAATTGTAGAGCTGGCTAAGAAATCCTTAGTGATGTTTCTTGATTTCACAGTTCCAGACTGGTGAGGTTACAGTGTGTCTATCCCTCAACAGCATCACTAAAATAAAATTATCTACTGCTGTTTGTGGGATTTGCCGTGCAAATTGGCTGCCTCATCTTCCTACAAAAATAAGTAATTGCACTTGTAAAAGTACTTTCTTTGGACCATCCTGAGGATATGATTAGTGCTTTATAAATGCGAGTTTGTTTTTGAATTGGCTTCACTGTATGAACGTGTCCTGTTTCAGGTATCATGCAACAACAGATCATCCAACACCAACAATACAAACTACCCCAGAATTCCATACATGGGAGCCCTGCATCCTCCACTTTTCAGCAGTCCACAATCTCGCACAGTCCTTCCAGGTAATATGCAACATATTGTCACATTGTAGAATCTCCAGAACATAGTTTGACAGTGACTTGTTGCTAAATATCTATTGTTAAATGTAGTTTGCAATTCTCATTTTTAACAGTTAATAGATGAAAAATAAAGTGGTGTGGGCTCTCTAGAATGGTCATGTGTAGCAGCCAACAAAGGTACTAATCCAAAAACTTGTATCCCATTGCCTGATCTGATATCATATGTTTGTTCTGAATGGTAATGCAAGTTCTGTCACATCTCTGCTATCCTTCTATTTTTCAATTATGTCTTATTTTCTACTTCATTTGTTCAGCTTCTGTATATGTAGTTAAGTAGTTCCTTGATTTTAAAATTCACATTATTGTTTTCATGCCTCCATGCCTCATTGGTCTATGTCTTGAAATTCCTCCATACCTCAACTCTGCCTGTGTTTCTGTAATTCTGGCCTCTTAAGCACACAGTTGTTCCATTTTGGTGGCTGAGCCTTCAGTTGCCTAGGCCCTAACTCTCTGGAATTTTCTCCTCGAGTTTCTCTGCCTGTTTACTTCATTTTCTTCCTTTAAGATTCCCCTTCAACCTCAGATGTTTGACCAATCGTTTAGATTTGCCCTATATCTCCGGTGTGATTTTATTTATTTTATAATGTCCCTGTAAAACATTTTATTTCATGAAAGGCACGATATAAATGCTAACTTAACGACCCATATCCACAGGATACGTTGGTATTTAAGAAATAAAAATGTTTAAAAACCGGACTTGTGGCCACAAACTTGCAACACACTACAGACCTGATTTCATTTCTGTCAGTGGTCTTGCTTTTACCCAGTTCATATTTCTATAATGGCTCTGCTGACAAGTGATATATTCAGGCTCTGCAAATGTTTTCATTATCTGATTCTATGTTTTGCAATTCTTTGCTGATTAGCAGTTGAGTCCTGATCAGTAAATTCCTGAAAAAGATTTGTTGCAAGTTGAAGTTCACAACCAAACCATCTACCCCAATTTTTAAAGTTTCACCAGTTATACATTTGCACTACAGAAGCTTCACATATACAAATGATTCTTGTGTCAATTATGGCAGACGGTAAAATGTAAATTCAATAAAATCTGGAATTCAAATCTAGTCTAATAGCGACCATGTAACCACTGTTTATTGTTAAAACACCCATAGGGTTCGCTAATGTCCTTTTAGGGAAGGAAGTCTGCCATCCTTACCTGGTCTGGCCTACATATAACTCCAGACCCACAGCAATATGTGTGACTCTTAACTAAAATAGCCAATCAGTTCTAGGACAATTAGGGATCCTCAGCAAATACTGGCCTAACCAGCAATGCCCACATATCGTGCAAGAATATAAAAATAAGTGTTCAGGACTGGGTGTTCAGGGTGAGGAGAAGCGAAGCAGATTAATGTGGGCAATTATTTTGTGGCAAGAATAGGTAGAATGAGACCACATGGCAGTGATCCCTTTTTATTTGAAGACAAATTTTAGAGATTCATTGCTCTATAGTATTGGAAAAGATAATCAGTGTAGAAACTGGTGAAATCGAGCATCTCTCCTGGGATAATGACAGTTCTGAAGAAAGCGGCACATGTGGCTTACTAGGTTGAAGGAGAGAAGTTGATGGTATCATTCATCCTAGGAAGTATTTCTGGGTGGGGGCCGTGTGGGGAGTGTGTGGACAAGAAAGAGAGAGAGAAAAAGTAATTCCACTCTTTTTTTTATCAATATGAATTTTGGTGTTGGCTAGGCCAGCATTATTGCCCATGCTTAATTGCTTTGGAGAAAGTGGTGGGCATATTTATTACTTGATGGTTCATTCAACTAGAAGCAAGATGAAACTGGATACTGCTATTCCTATGTTCTGATGGTCAGTTGTGAACTGAGGATGAGGAGAGGAATGATGTGGCTTGATGCAGCATTAAAATACAAGTTGGATATCCTTTATCTGGAAAACTTGGGATCTAACTGCTTTTTAGAAATTGGCTAATTTTGGTTTTTGTTACAGCCTATTTGCTCTAAAAATTACTCTTCATTTCAGACAACTTTTATCACCTTCCACTAAGGTGATCAGTTAGCTGGATGGCCTGTTTGTGATGCAAAGTGACTCCAACAGTGTGGTTTCATTTCCTACACTGGCTGAGGTTACCATGAAAGGTTCCTTCTCAAATTGTCCCTTGCCTAAGATGTGGCGACCCTCGGGATAAACCAACACCAGTTGTGTCTATCTAATGAGAGAGCACTCCTCTTGTCTGGTGACTTTATCTCCATCACCTTCCGATGAAGGCGTTGACTCCTGCTGGTATATAGACATAGAGGCACTTTCCTAAGCCATGTAGTGTTGTAGTTTTACCTCCAAGTTCCTCCTCTTAAAAATAGCTCTCTGCACAGGATTTTCATTCTTTAGGGCCCATTTGGGTCTGTTTAGGACTGCCTGTTTGAGTCTACTTTTAGAGAAAGCTGTTTCATTTAGGACTCTTTGGCTTTTGGATTTGCAGATAAAGGATACCCAACTAGTGGTATGTAACAGGTGTCTGGAGAAATTACATAGTAAATTAAACTAGTTTTACTGCTTAACCAATGAACTGTGAACTGCTCACAGTAGTTCTCCATTAGGAAAGAGGACCTGCTTACCATTAGTTTCTACGTGGCCATATAATAAACTCCGATGTATACAGCATAGGAGGAGGTCAATTGAACACGTCTCATCTTATTTTCCAGCTCTTGACCCATAGCCCTGGAGGCTATGACAATGCAAATTATAGTGTGGATAAACTGATCAAATGTGGAAATTAGGGTAAATGTCATTTACTTTTTTGTTTACAGTCGATTTGTACCACCTCAGTCAAGTTCAGCCAACAGATATATGACTCAGCAGAACAGTCCTGCGCCTAGTCCGTATGCTCCCCAGAGTCCTCCAGGTTACATCCAATATCCACAACACCCTCCAAGCTATACACAACATCAACAGATACAACAAGGTAAGAGCTGACAGAAGTTTTGAAATGGATGACCTAGAAGCATGTGCAAATATTGAGAATGTTTGCTAGACTCTACTTTCATACTTCATAGCACAAGACTCTAATGAAGAATCTATTTAATTTTAACTTGGCAAGATGAACTTCTCCAGGATCCTAGATGGGGTTGGTCATGTTTCTTCTAAGTTGTTTGATACTGGGGTATGGTAATCTGGTATATTCTGAGAAATTAGGTACTGTGTGCTCCATTGGAGCTTAGGTTGCTTTCCCTCATGTCCCCAGTTCCAGTGCACCATTGAGACAGTTCAGAGGCCTTACTTTGGTGAGATTCCATTGAGGAAATCAAATGTGTTTCCTGGTACCAGGATTTATTCATAAGTGCAGTTTAAGAATAAAGTAAAGCTTCTGCAATGGAGGTGGTGGTTCATAATTCTTGCTCATAGTGCTGAATGCTTGTTTTTCCATCCTTAGAGTTGCATGGTTCCCCTCTGGTATCAGGTCCTACGTATTCTGGGAGTCCTCAGAGACCTGTGCAACCCTGTTTGATAGTCCAGACTCAGCCTTCTCCTCAGCAGCAACAGTCAACCTCCACGCTAGGTAAAGAATGCACCATTTCAGCTGTTCTGCAAATTATAGCAGGGCATGAAATAAGTGGAGATGTGTGGCAAATGCTTGTGCAATATGCAGAATTAGTATGTCAGTTTTGAGACAATAAAGCAAGTGTAACAAGCCTTCCATCGTAGCAAGTTGGAATTCTTAATAATGTATACTACAGTTTTATTTAAAAGACAGGAATTCCCATTGGTAAGGCATTAATTTCATTACCTAAATTGCTGTATTGAATTACTGTCAGCACTTGGTAACTGAAGAGTATTTGTAGGATGGCATCTTTCTCCGATTAAAATCGTCTGTGATATTATTTAGGTAGTTTTGTATTCTTTTTGAGGGGGAAAGGCTGCCTGTTTCCATACTGTTGGGTATCGTGTTGCCACTTGGAATTAATTTGTGTAGGGCAAATACACTGAAGTTGGTAATCTACACAGTCTGTGCTTAATTAATCACTTGTGGTAGATCTGTATCTGGCAGAACTTCAACCATACTGTTTTACTGTTCAAAATTACTTAAGTCACCGCACAGTGAGAGCATGAAATATGGAATTCTCCAAATTCCTTTTATAGTTCTGTTAGATATTACAGAAATTTAGTAAACTCATCAATGCCAATGAAATCTGGATAAACCTAGTCAGATTAAATGTTTCCTGTGAAAATAGTCCTCCGCAAAATATCTTAGATGGTTTTAAGATATGTGGCAGACACTACAGACTTTGCCCAGAGAATTGGGAGATTTTGATGAGGCACTTAATGTAAATAGAGAAGAGGGTAATGTAATGAAAAGAAAAAGGTAATGTAATTGTAGTTTCTTAAAATATTTGTTGGTATGATCACGCCAGATACTATGTTGCCATTGTTTGTACATTGATGCCTTTTTTGACCTGATTTTTTGCAACGACCATGCTCAATTCAATATTTACAATGTAATCCATCTCAACCTTATAGCTTCTGAGCGCCTTTCTGGATCTCTTTATTTCAGTGATTACTTGGCCTCCCATCAATTTGCTCAGCTTGAATTTTAGCCCAAACTGAGTCGTAGGGGCACAGGCCACTCACCCTGTTGAGTCTGCTTCCACATTCAGTGAAATCATGACTACTTTAATAAGCCTCAAGTCCACATTCCTGCCTTTGCCTTTTCCCCATGCTGCTCGATGTCAACGTTCAGTCACTTAGATTCTATTTCTTCCCTTCTTAAACTCACTTCCAAGTTCTCATTTTAGACCCTCCTTCAAACCCATAACTTAAACTGAAGGTATGGCTAGCCTCCGTTTTTCTTTTTATTTTGAGATTTGCCATTTTGCTCTATTAGTGCACCTATCAAGTAGTGTGTAATCAATTTACATACTGGGAAAGGAATGAGTTTTAGAGTCAAGATGGCGAATGCTAGTCATCTAGGGCTCGGAATACAGGAAGTGAGCATTTCAGCTGTCATGATTCCAGCTAATGGTACTCCTGGATACGTTAGTTCCAATAATGAAGCTCAACTTCATTTTTGTTTAGTTTAGGTAGTACACATGCTGGTTAATCACTTCCTTTAATAAACTTTTGGTTCTGTTATTACACAAGAAATTTATTATTTAGCTTGTTATTTGTTATAAAAAAAGTTAAATATTGAAGGCAGTTGTCAAAATCTATAGAACACAGAAAAACAAAGTTTTAAATTGTTTCCCAATGCTATCCATTACAGTGACTCTAGGAGGAACTATACTCACCTCTAAACTTTAGGATTTTACTTTAACTGATTTTTGACAGGTTCTTGACCTTGGACTGTAGTGACAAATCAGAGACCTTTCCAACTTTGACATGAACTTTCTTCAAAACTGAACGCATTATAATTTCTAATAACCTGGAGATTCTAAATAAACTTTTTTTTTTAAATTTGGAAGTTTCGCAGACTGAACACTTCTGTTGACTTGACTTGTTCCCTGAACTTCTAGACTCCACACCATCTCTTGGAACTGGACTGTATAAAAACTTGCTTCTGAATGGATATGGACTAACAGCAGGCAGAAGGGATTAGTTTAACTTGGCGTCATGTTCGGCACAGCATCGTGGGCTGAAGGCCTGTTCCTGTGCTGTACTGTCCTCTGTTCTAAATAAATGTTAAAAAAACAAAAACCATGCTCGTCCTAGGTCCTTTTGATTTGGAACTAAACAAATAGCCTTGCATGTTTACTCTGCCTGTCATAAACCCATCAAATCTTTACATTATAGTCACTCCTTTCAAATAGGACAAAATGTCCTTCCAAAGAAAATGTCTCCTGAAATCCACATTTCAAAAATGGTATTTGTGTATATAATGCATCTTTTGCACCACTACTAAACTCAATCAATCCTGTCCATGCTTTTCTGCAGATGTTATCAGATACTGATGAGAATGTGATTGTTTGTTTCTAATTCTGAGATAAATTCCTAATTCCTCAGTTGTTGTTTGAGCTGATTTAACCACAGAACCAGAATCTAATTTTGGACCATTATCCTAATGCTACCCTTAATGCTAATGTTCTGACACCATTAAGCTGCTGTTTTGAGGTGTAGGTGGCAGGAGCTGAGCTGCTTTGTTTTGTCAGCTGCAATATGCTGAGTAATATCTTCAATGAAGGTAACTTTATTGAAATTAATGAGAAATAATTGTATGTGAATACCAATCTACCCTCTCTTTCTGTCTTTGGAAGTCATGGGTAGTTAAAATATGCACAGCCTCAATTTCTTTTTGTACAGCCATGCATAGGAGAAACTAAAAAGGATTGACTTGTGCATAGATTATGTGGGAGCTTTTTATTGCTAGACAGCTCATAGGGACTATTGATTCACGCCCATCTATTGTTGCAAGCACTGTTACTCCATGTTATGCAAGAGTCCACAAAGTCACCACAGCTGTTAAGTAGAAACCGTGCATTCTGAACTGTATGTACTTTTTCTTTGAATTACATCTGATACTTAAAGTTTCAGATCACGTGAAGCAGTCTTTTAAATATATTAATCCATTTTGGTTGGCTTATTTCGGTTTAGTGAGGTTTTCTTAGAAATGTCTTGTTCTTCTTGCTTATCAGAGGGTTGCATTTGGGACCGATGATTGACACCACCTTGGCAAAAGTGAATCAGATCTGCACATGTAGGACAGCTTAATTAACGTTACTTAATGTGTTTTTCAGCTTCTGTATCAAGCCCTATGATTCCCAGTGGCATGCGGAATATTCATGATAGTAAAGTGGCAAGTCAGATGTCGGGCTCCTCATCTAATCACCATTCAGATAATTCAAGACATGGATCGAATGAGGACTATATACACATGGTGCATCGGCTTGGATCAGAGGTGGGAACAGAGTTGATTCAGAAACAGCTCTCTGTATGCTCGAATCTGAACAATTACCTTTGGGGCGAGTGCAAGTGAACTTAACGCTAGGTTAATTTTGAATCAGAAAGTGTATTTTGCAATTGGGTGAAATTTTAAGTCAAATTGATCTTTTTGAATTTTACGTGAAATTTAACCTTGAATGAAATGATTGGGCAATGAGAGTCAGCTCCATCAATTCCAAAACATGATTGATTCCTTGGTAGAGCCACCTGATGGAGAAAGTGAAGTCGCATGGGGTCCAGGGTGTACTAGCTAG